ATATAGTAAGAAGAAGATATGGATTGGCGTTGTAACGTTTATTTGCTATCATGTCTCCTCCCCTTCCCTTAAGCGGCGAAGGTAGGTAGATTTGACGTTTTATTTTACTGTATAGAAATTGAATAGTTTTGAAAAAAATTAAAACTATAAAGGGGGTAAGAATCTCTTTGAAAAAAAATGGATGATTTAAGAGCGTACATGGGGCTGTTAAAAAAAAAATGTCGAAAGGCGATATAGTTTGCAGGTTTTGAAAGTACCCTCATGATTATTTTTTCTAGGTATACTATAGTTCGCAGGGCGAAAAAATCATCGCTGTCTACTTCTCTGGAAAAAATTAAGTATTGGACATCAATTAAATGGGACTGTGTATTTTTTTTGTTTCCAAAATACAATTGCTTAATATTTTGTAGTGATAAAAATACGTCTAAAATAACAATTTTTAAAGCAAAATCACTTTAAATTAGTTATCCTTCAAGCATTTATATGTTCAGTACTATACCTACGTTTACTTCTCTTTTATTAATAGCTGAAGTACAAGTACTTATAAATCAAGAAAATGCCATTTTCTGGATGAGAAAACCATTTTTTTTGAATTTTTTTGATTGGAAATAAAGATATTTACATAACAGTCGCAAAATAGCCAAATGTAATAAAAAAAATGCAAAGCTCGCTTATTAGGTATGGCAGCACGCATTCTTGTGACCCAATAAACAAATATCAATATCAATAAATTTAATTGTTTTGTTCTAAGGGCAATTATGACAGTGAACTGTATCTTTATCTCATAGACAGAATTTTAAAAAATGTTTCAGAAGGATAAGAACATTGTCTTTAATGGGGTTTCTTATAAAAATAACACAGAATTATATATATGTATATACTATATCAAAAAAACTTAATTAGCAACATTGCTTTTTTTGGACTGCTCACCATCAATAGCTCCGAATTCTTTCTCATGGGCTCGATTTAATATTTGCTTGTAAAGGACTTCTGCCTCTCGATATTTTCCTTGTTTTAAATAACAAGAAGCCAAGTTGTTTTTGGTTTTTGCTACGTTGGGATCATCTGGACCAAGCCGTTGTTCATAAATTTCTAAAGCTCTTTGATAATAGCGTTCCACTTCTTCATATTTTCCCTAATGCAGAAATACATACAAATTAAAAAAATATTTATGACATTTTGTTATAAAAGAAATAGCTGTTCATTTCAAAATTATCGATAATAATGATTTTTAATTGTGTTTATACAGGGTCTTTCTGAAATAAGTAGCAATCTTGCAAGAGGTGATAGGACATTATAAAACAAGAAAATGTGTATGTGTGTTCGCGCGCGCATGTAGGGGATGATATAGATTTTCTTAAAATATTTGAATATCACGTTGAAATGGCTTATAGAAAATTGTTATAAACTTATATATTTGTGCGTTAGTTGTTGTTAATTGGTTAGGTAAGCAATGAAAAAAATTCAGGTAAATTTGATAAACTTTGAATCAATTTTACTCAAATTGATATTATAATCTTTTTTAAGGTTGCTGAGCATGACTATAATTCCAAAAAATTAAAATTCAAAAAGGGCCGTTTTAATAATCAAGCGCTAAATATTCAGTGTATTTCCCTAATTTTCATCTTCAGTCTTCATCGTTTGAGTCAGAAGATTCATCGTCGACTCCTAGTTCAATAACCAAGTCTTCAATAACCCTTTCCACCGCTGGGTCTTCTAATGTGTATGCATCTTTTTGCTTAATAATTTTGTTGCACACACTTTCCCATTTTTCGATAGAGAAACTTGAAAAAAAAATCTTCACAAAGTTCTTTTACGTCACCCAAGTTAAAATATACATTGCGTTCGGTAACAAAATGTTTTAGAGCTGCCCATATTTAATTGGGTTCAATTCCGGATGATATGGCGGTAATCTTGTATTATTTCGTCGATGTCGTAGATTTTACACTTCGGCTTATGCAGTTTTATAATTTGGTACAATTCTACTTTAGGAATACTGTCTTCGAAATATAAATGTCTTTTTCGTAGCCAATTCTGCATCTCTGTTTTTACCAAGTTCGAATTAGAGCATTTTTCTTTTTGAACGTTGTGGTATGGGGCATTGTTAATAACTATTTTGTAGACAAACTAGGGAGAAGTTTTTCTTGGACCCATTTTCGGTAGTTGTTGTAGTTCATGTCATCATGATAATCGCCTGTTTTTAAACCTGACAAGAAAATGAGACAGGCGTTTTCTATAAAGCCCATCTTGCCACCAGCATGAATAATAAATAATTAATCGACTCCCTTTTGCTAGTGGTTGCAGAAGGCCTTCCGAAGTATCATCGGTCCATGACTTTTTGGAAGCACAATTTGAATGTATATATGTTTCATCCATATAAATAATTGGTCTCCCTGCCTGACGAAAAGCTCTTATTTTTTTCTTTAAAGCGACTCGCAAATATCGAATCTCTGCTTTTTTCACTAGCAATTTCCAATTAGTTTAGGTTTTTTCCACCGGAAACCAATTTTTCGTAGTACTCGCCAGATACTAACTTTCGAACCGCAATACACCGTGTCGTCTTGGTATTTCTGGTGAATATTTTTCAGTGTTGGGATCATCTTTTCAGTAACATAAAAGTTATTCACCGTTCTTTTTATAACATCTTGGTCAAACTTGTCGAAGTCAGTTTTAGGACGTAGGTGTGTCTCTTATTATATTTGAGTAAATGTAATATATGCGTTAAATAAAGCGAAATGTAAATTATTTCAATTGCCGATTGAAAATTGTAATAAACAGTGATAATTTGATGTAGTGTAATTGAAAATAAAAGCGGGAGGGATATAGGTATTAAAAAGGAGGTGATGTGAATAAACGATAAAATTGAAAGAAAAATGTTAAACAAAGGTGCCATGAAAATATATGTGGCGCATCAAATGGACGTGCCTGTAAGAAACAGAAGGAAGCAGCCGCTCACACCGCGCCATCTGTTTCTGGTCGACTTGCCGACCTTGCCGAGGCCACAGCCCGGAAGGTTGTGGGGACGAGACACGGCGAAAGCGGGAAAGAAGAGACACATTGCACAGATCGAGGGAGAACACGCACGAAGCATTCATTCATCACATCACTCTAGATTCACCGCCATTATAAGCCAGCTCCATTATAAATTCATTTAATTCATTCGTTGTTCTGTGAATATTTGTGTGTTAAATATTAACATCTGTTAGAATATAGAAACTAATAAAACATTCAATCAGTTGAGTTCTACTGTCGCGAGTAAGGATTCCTGAAGTGGACACCCCGACGTCACTAAAAAACAGAATCAAACACGCGACGGTGCGTTTAATGGACCTCGAAGAGTTTCCCACGCGAGCGAAAAAACGTGTGTCCGTCATTTTCTCCTTTTCGTAATAAGTTTTTCTAGACGTGTGTCGACCATTGATGATTCGAACGATTTTTTTAAGGCGGAAGGAAGTACGTTCTGCCGATTCATCGCGTTTCCGTATTTACACGAGTTTAGGCATGCCACCGCCCGTAGTCAACGACGTCGGAAACAGTGCTAACGATAACCACGTCAACGATAGTACCACCGCCGATTCAACAGGTGCAAATATACACAACCCTAGCTTGCACTATCCACCCTTTTGGAAAGCCAGCCCAAGAGTCTGGTTGGTGAGAGTCGAAGCGCTATTCAGCTGTCACAGGATACGGTCAGAAGTAGGGAAATTCAATCTGCTCATGGCAGCGTTAGACGGCCCCACAGTTGAAGAAGTCACCGACGTCTTTCTCGCTCCTCCGAACTAAGGTAAATACGAATACCTAAAGAAGGAAATACACCGACATCTCACGGACCCTACAGACCGGTAACTTCACAAGCTCTTCACACAGTTCGACTTTAGAAATAGGAAACCCTCTCAGATTCTAAGATAGACGAAGACAATGGCCGGCAGCGCAATTTCCGAAAAGGCAATCAGAGTAAAGTGGTTTGATCTTCTGCCATCGCAGGTAAGCAGATTAATGAAGGTACTCAGGGCTACCAGCTTGGAAGAATTAGTAAATTTAGAAGACGAACCCATTGACAGTAGCACAGGCGTCATGTCCACTGGCTATTGACTGCTCTATGCTCCTCAATTTCCTAGTTGGTGACTTTGATGAAACAAAGCCTCGGCCAGCCAGCTAATCTACAGCCGCTACCACAGTAGAAAGGCCATGCCAGAAGTAGGTCAGCCAGCCGCCACCGTGGCCGAGCAACGACTCCAGTAACCGGCTAGCACCAAGGCTACTGCTGGTACCACCGGCGTCATAGAGAAACCGCAAATAAATGCACCCCCAGGGAAACTAATAACACCACCTGCGATTTGATTTTTGATTTTTTTCAACAGTATTAGGTACACAAAACGAAGGACAGTAGGTCTGTGTATCACTGTCATCAATCAGTATAAAACAGTAGTTGTTCCAAGAGCGTTTAGAACTTTATGACATGGTACTAATTTACGAAGAATGTGAACACAATGTCAATGCCACGATTGAATTGTACGGTCATGCATATTCCCAGCGAAAACTTCCTGAGCGGCAAACCGTCTTATACACCGTACAAATATTAAGAGAAACCGGCAAAATACACCCTCCAGGTGATTACTTCAAAATTCTTAACACAAAAATAATTTTTAATAACAGGAATATACTTAATTGTGCGAATAAAGCGAAAGATGATTCAAAATATATAGGTCAAACAACTAATGCATTGGCAATTAGGATTAAGGAAAATAAAAACAAATGTCTAGAGAGATAAACATGTATAAACGTAATGTTTCTTTGATGTTGTTCATCAAAATCAATCCCATTAATATTAATACGCAATGAGACTCTCTATTTTATAACAAGTAATTGTAAGATTACTCTTCTCAGTATAATGTAACTGCTGGCTAATTTATATAATAATTTACTCTCTAACTAACACCACTATTATTAATTACTTTCTATTTCACTACTATATCGTATCGCCCCGACGCTAAAATTACAACTAACCCTTCCGATATCGCGGCAACTATTTATAGGCTGAACTTGTCCTAAAAAGATTCCAAATTGTAGAATTTAGAAAATCGGGCCTTCTTTCTTATTGTGTATGTTGGGTTGCCTACACTTGACATTAACCCCTCAATAAACTGTAACGTCGCCTTTGTAGAGAGTAAGTCGATCAAGATGAACGATCTTCAGTTTGGCCCGAGGTCCCTTCTGAATTCGGTAGGCAACGTCGTTGATTCATTGAATAACAATGCACGGATCATCCCAAGCTTGTTGTAGTTTTGGACAACGTCCCTTCCGTCTTGCTTGATTGTATAGCCACAATTAAATAGACACTGGAGAATCTCCTGGATGACCAAACATTACCTTTGCTGGCAGCCTGAGTTCTCTCCCAAATAAAATGCTGACCAGGGCATAGTCCTCGTATTTGTTATGCTCATTAGTTCAGTGACCTTCCTGAACAAAGTCGACTAAAAGTTCCTACCTCGTTTGGATGCAATTTCAATGATAACTCTTTTCAGCTAATGCAATCATTGACAGGATTCGGTATCGCATGTGTTTCGGGCCGCTTACTAAAGTAATCCATCACGAACAAGATGTGTCGGAATCGGAATCAGCCATTGGGAATCGTCCTGTCACGACGACTGTGATTCTCTCAAATGATGCTCTTGCACTACTGCATTCATTCACGACTTCTCGTCTTCGCACCCTTACTGAAGGCACATATTGGACATTTCCTGCACAAGTTTTCCACATCACGTGCCGTTCATGTCGTTCTTTTGGGGTCATATTGTTGAGACTCGGACATTCCTTGAAGTAGATTTAGGGCCTCCCTTTGTAGAGCAATTATTAGTGGTGTAGATTTCTCTGAATCGGTCCACGCATTTACTTCTGCGCTGCTTCAAACTGCCTCAGGTAAACGGATCGTGCGATGTTTCCATCAAAAGTTGAAGATGTAATTATTGATGGTCATACACCGGGATCGTCGGCTATCGCAGTAGAGGGTAGTTTTAACCTTATCATCTCTTCTTTCATTTCTTCGATCTTCATTTTCATTATGAGTCCCTTTTCTTCTATCTTCAATTCCATCTTGATTTTTTTTCCTATCTTCTGTTCAGTCTTGTTCTCCCATTCTTCCATCCTCTTTTTCATATTGATTTCCCTTTTTCCCTTTTTGTTCTACCTTGATTTCCCTTTCTTCTATCTTCTTTTCCTTTTTATTTCTAATATCATTTATCATGTCCTCTATTCTCATATATATTGCTTTTTGTACATTTTTTTAATTTTCTGTTTCATTTCTTCTTGAACTGCTTTCAATTCTTCTTGTCCCATTTTCACGTAATCTTGTACTGCTTTGAATTCTTGCTCTATTTCTTCCTGTCCGTTATTCGTTTCTTCTTGACCATAATTTATTTTCGATTTCATTTCTTTTTGTCCTGCTTTCATTTCTACCATCAGTGTCATCAACACCTTTATTTGTCCTCTAATTTTGCTTTAGTACATTTGATAGTAACAAGCATGATATATTTCGCTTTCTTCCAGAAAATTCTATGAAATTCTTCGATTCTGGCAAAATGTTCTTCTTTCTTCGTGAGCTTTCCAATAATGGTAGGGTTACTCGCAGCCGATGGAAAGTTTAGTTTTGATTGCAGCAATATCGAGTTTGTATTTAATTATTAACTGAAGCAAGCAAAAGAAATTTTAACCTGATACCTTATGCCATGCAATATGGAAAAATTATCCATGGAGACCTATTGCTACCCAATATTTAATTATTAACTGAAGCAATTCCTGAGTCTTTAACCATATAGCTTATATATTGCTATGCAATTTACTAAAATTAACCGTGGAGGGCCATTCCCGTCTAATATTCCGAACTTGTTTGACTTAGGAATCTACACTACAGTGGTACCAGCTTGTTCTAATGAGTAGCTAGTTGATTTCCTTACAGGAACACGTTCGTCTTCAAACAAAATGGGCTACGATATTGAAAATTCTTTCTAGCTTTCTATTGATAAGTGGCTTTCTTACTGTTAAAGTAGAATATCAAAATTAAGTTTCCTGACACCTAGCATTAACTTTGTGGACTAATGTTTTTCTTTGTATAGTCTGTATTCATTCAAATAAATTACTTGTTCGTCTGTCATCAAGCATTTTATTAGGTTATTGGTCGCTTCCCATAATTTACTGTGAATTTATAGGTACATCACGTGTTGTGCAAGCAAAAGGAGTTTCAACTACATACAACGAATATTCCAAAGCTGAAAGGACGCGAAAATTTTGATGATTGGGCGTTCCCTATAGAAAATTGGTTGGTGCTAGAAGGCGCAGATAAATAGTTAAATGAAGATGAACCGACGCTGCGGCAGATGCTAAAGCACGGGCGAAGATTATATTAACGATTGACTCATCATTATTTGTGCACACAAAGGAGACAAAGCCCACGAAGGAGATAAAACTGCGTGCTTTGTTCGACGATTCAGGATTTTCAAGGAGAATTACTTTGCTTCGTCATCTGATTTCCATACAATTAGAAAACTGTGAGAATATGACGAATTATGTGACGAAAATAGTTGAAACTTCTCAACATTTCATTTAAAGATGAGTGGATTGTAGGCAGAATGACAATGACGTAGCTCGGGAAGAAACAGGGTTGTCTCAGACTGCCTTCGGCTCGGGTGCCTGTTTCTTCCCTCGATACGTAATGTACTATTACGTTGACTCGGGTCACCACATGTCGACGAATGAAAGTTGGCTGATCAATCCATCAAATTCGTCCTGTTTACCAGAAATTATTGTTGCCAATAAGATGAAAGTTCTCATTCTATGTTCTGGAGATGTGAATATCATGACAAGTTATAATTATAACATAACTGTAAAGAATGTGTTGTGTGTACCAACTCTCACAACCTATTATAGGTCAGCCGTCGAAAACATAAAAAAAAAATCACTGACCTATAATAGGTTGTGAGAGTTGGTACTCACAACACATTCTTTACAGTTATGTTATAATTGTAACTTGTCATGATATTCAAATCTCCAGAACATAGAATGAGAACTTTCATTCGCCGACATGTGGTGACCCGAGTTAACGTAAAAATCATTTTTGTTAAATTTGCAACTGAGAAACACAACACTGCAAGCGTAACTTTAGTCAGTGAACTAATATAAAAAATGGAAATAGCGTCGTATTCAAACCGAACAAATGTATAATAAGGAACAAATCAGGTGATTTAGTTGCTGATCCCGATTTAATTGATGGTGTTTACAAACTGAAGCTACAGAAACAAAATTGTTTATTGATTTGGACTGTCAGTGAAGAAACATGGCACCGTGGGATATAAACAACAATGATATAAGCAAATTGAAGCGTTTTGGATTAGTGGAAGGAATGAAATACACAAATACATTCACAACTAGTAAATCGAGCTGTGAGATATACCGTAAAGGTAAACAAGCAAGACTACCTTTTTCTGCCAGATCACGAGCAACAGAAATGCTACAAATTGTTCATTCGATGTCTGTGGCCCAATCAATAGGCGAGGCACGTTACTTTGTGTTGTTCATTGACGATTATAGCAAAATGGCCTTTATTTATTTCATGAAGGCAAAAAGTGAAGTGATGAACTGTTTCAAATAATTTAAATCGAGACCAGAGAATTTCCAAAATAAAAATTCTGAGAACTGACATTAATGGACTTAGTGAGAGGTCCAATAGAACTACAGTGGAGAGAGCCATGTCTCGAATATATCCACAATCGTAGATCTAATGGCGAATGTACTTTTTAACATTAAAATATAAAAACTGCACATACCGACGTGGTAATATTAAATTTGCTATGGGTAAATACGAAAAAACAATAAAAATCACAGAAGTATTAAGTGGGTAAGAAAAGGTAGACGCTTATAAACAATTATTTCTGGTTGTAAGTGTAAAATATAAAGCAGCATGTACATGAAAATAGGTCGTTCATAATTGGTTATACACTAATTAATTTATTTGTTAGTCATACACATCAACAGATTTTCATCAGATCAATTTTCTTGCAATATTCTCAAAACAGTAAAAATTTCAGAAAAATGTTCCCTTCGTAAAAAACAAGCTGTGGTATAATATAAGAACATAGTGTGGCAGGAATCCGTGGTAGAATTATGATTTGGGCTGAAAGGTCGTAATCTGAATGAAGTGTTAGGTAGGTTTAGACATTTTGACGACAACTGCGGCTGATATCTTCTGTGGTATTATTAAAGGTAGAAAAATCTTGACTGAATAATAAGAAAACACCGTAACTCAACTACTTTATCAATGAAAAGGTACTTATTTATTATTCAGTATATGGAGAAGTATCAATTTGACATGTTCATCAAATATTGTCATATGAAACGAGAAGTGAATTTAACAAAATATGTTCTTTAAAAGATTTACAAACCGCCAAGCGTAGTCCTAAATACTTTTTATTAAATGCATCTCACAGTGAAATAAATGAAATAAAAAATAATTTACCTGATTTTGACAAAGTAATGCAAGATTATTCAACTGTTTGGCCACATCAGGATGTTCTCGTCCCAGAACCTTTTCTCTAATCTCCAGAGCACGTTTACAGAGAGGCTCAGCTTCTTTATATTTTCCTCGTTTTCCATATAATACAGCCAAATTGTTTAATGTTGCAGCCACTGCTGGATGATTTTCACCAAGTGTTTTCTCGCGAATTGCCAATGCATCATTGAGTAAATTAGCAGCTTCTTTGTATTTGTTTTGATCTCTAAATAATTATATAAAGTTATATTATTCTGAAACCATTTTATCGAAATTTGTATATTAACCTGTAAACTAAGGCAAGAATATTAAGCATAGTAGCAACGTCTGGATGATCATGACCACTAGTTTTTTCTAAATCTTCAAGTGCCTGTTTGCATAGCGGTACAGCAACTTCGTAACGACCTTGAGAAGCGTACTGTATAACTAAGTTGTGTAATGTACGAAGACGAGCTGGAATTTCATATCCAGCAGTAACCTGCTGCGCCAGTTGACTTGGTGGCGTAGGGGACATTGCTAAAACAAACAACAGGAAATTATTATTATTATTTATACACAATTTCAAAAAGTACTTGTTCAATGAAATAAAAAAAACTATCATTAAAAAGAAATAGACATTTGAATTCATACCACTTCTTTCTTCATTGTCATCGTCAGGGAATAAATCAACAACGGGATCGGGTTTCTCATTTCTAGGATTTTCTGATGCATTTTCTTCGTTTAAATCTTGATCATAGCGACTAACGGAGGCCATAAAATCCAAGTGACGTTTTTCTTCTTCTAACTGAGCTACGGCTTGTTCGCTAGCTTGTAAACGTTGTTGAGTAGAAGCAAGTTCGTCACGTAGCCACGCATTTTCTTGACATAAACGGCGTACTTGGGTACGTAATTTCTGCTTTTCTGCTTCAACCATTTGTAAATGCGAAGCCAGTGCCATAATTACCTAATAAATACACAATGGTAGAAAAATCGTCATAAAATTGATCAAGAGGGCGCTAATTGTATAGAGTGGGGCATATAGAGTAAATAAGTTCATCAGAAATGTGTTTCATAAACAAGCAATATAAAAGGACCTCATCATCTATACCTCAAGAAGAAACAAAAAAAAAACATCTTTTGTTCTGAGCATGCACATTGGTAGTCAGTTAGCTAACCAATTAGAAGCGCAAATAAATGAAGTCGGAGAGGGAAAAAGGGTACCACTATTTTTCATCTAACGGCTCACAACTTATGTGGAAAAGATGGACAAATTGCTAGAATGTGTTGATGGAGAAACAAAAACAGGCAACCAGGCATCCTCTTCCATAAAGTTGATATTTTTTGTGATATAAAGTATTTATGGTTCCAAAAAAAAGTAAAAATGGTTACTTTTAATCTTTACAATGAACACTAAAAAACAATATGCTCTTCAAATATCTGTTACGTAGTCCAGAAATTGTTATTTAGGTCATTGGTACATCAAAATTATTTAAATCCGCAAACTAACACCTGCTTACCTACTGTATTAGTAGTAACAATCAGAATCGAGAGCCGAATTAAAGATCACGGATATGCAGGGTGGTGAGACGGCTTACCGTCTTCACTCACCCTGTGATAGTTTCATGCCATTTCTACAATCCCCAATTATCTATAAACATATAAATTATGACACATCCCTTAACAAATTATTATATTTTTAACCGCTTCTTTTATACATACTCATACGTTATAAAAATCATTTATTACTAATAAAGTAATCGAATATTCATATTTTAATATCTATAATATAATAAGTTTTTAACCATGAATGTTTCCTTCGATGTTCGGATATGGATAATTTCGAGTTATTTGGGATTTCTCATTCAATGGGATTTTCCACATTTTATGACAAGTCCTTTCATTTTCGGACTTTCCTATTTTCTCAGTATCAAAAATTAAATGCTATCTATCCATAAAATACGTATTAACATTCGTTCAATAGTGATGAAAACTACACATATAAGTAATCTTCAATAACGCATTTGTAACGTAACAAAATGCTTTCATAACGAAAATAATAAAAAGTTTGTTCTTTCTAACGACCACCTTAAACGTTGATAGGTAAATTACTTTTGTCAAAACTGATCTTACGTTAAAATAAAACTACCCTTAAGGTGTGGTTAAAAAATAGTAGTGAACCCGCGATTCTCCAAATGGTCAATGATCACATTTTCATGATACGTGTAATGCAGTTGAAAAATGGTCTTTTTAAAATATTCTGAAAGACCTAGCATGTTATCAAGTGCCATCGATTAAGTCCACTTCAAACCTTCTCCTAACCACAATTACTTATGGCGTCTTACCCTTTCCGCCTGTTCAAACTATATATTTATATTTTGGTCGTTTGATGGTATGCGTAGTTTTGCACGACACATTAAAAGTACACAAACGAAATATGAAGTCTGAAAACTACGAAAAGAGTACTATTGGGATGGTTAAATAAAAAGAAATAGAGTGAGTTATTGAAAATGAAGATAGACATCTTTCATAAGTGTGAAAAAGGGTAGAAAAAAATAGAACTTAAAAAGCGAAGATTCCAGAAATATACATCATAGAATTAGATACGGAAGATAAACGTATACACGAAAAGGCAAACAAGTTCGGAAAACAGAAATACATATGTCCAGTAAATTAGATATGGAATATAAAACACAAAATCTACAGACATAACATATACAACACAGACAGGGGGCGAGTGTGACAATAAACGCCACAGTATCCCCCCACCAACGACTAGGTCACGGAAGTCCAACCGGTAAACGGTCTGGGAAAGGGACCCTTCTACCTAAGCGCGTTTGCAGTGGCGCTAGAGTCGTGGGTTATTGACCTACAGTTTTGTTCGGGGCTGGCTCTTCTATTGTTGGACCGGCTGCTATTGTTTGGATAGGTAAAAGTACATCTAGGTTGTTCGGGTTTCTGAAGGTAGGGTTGTTGTTGGTGTTGGAGAATTACGTAATATGATTTCTTGGCCTTGACGTGAAAGTCTGCCAGAATGTACGCATGTTTAAGGCGATGAATGTAGACGGTAACGTTTCGTGCTTTGACGTTTACGATGAAAGTATTGTCGGACCTAGCGATCACTTTAAAGAGACCACCGTACGGGAGCTGTAAAGGCGCCTTGAAACCATCATGTCGGACAAAAACCGTGACCGGCCTCTGCGAGGTCCTTGAATATAAATGTAGCCTTTTCACCGTGCTTCGTGCCGGTGATAGGTCGCAGTATATCGGCGTGTTGGGTAGGCTTCTTATGAAGTCGAACGTGCTATCGTTGGTGGTTGACGATTAGGATGGAGTTAAAATTACTTCGGGAGCATCTCTGATTTAGAGAACCTATACGAAGGTCATGAGTTAGGAGATATATTAGAGAAGGAAGATACTGTGGAGATAGGTGAGCTAGATTATCCCATAATGGGAAAAGAGTTCGATGTAGCATTAAAAAACTTAAGGAATTATAAGGCGCCAGGTATAGATGGGATACAGGTGGAAATTCTAAAACATGCAGGACACGAAGTTAGAGATCGTATTGTAATGTTCGTGGGTTTAACAAATTAAATTTTAAGAAGAATCTGCAATTCTCGCCTTCACGACATCCACTCCGGGAATAGAAGTAAAAGTCCACGGTCTTCTCATGATTGGTCCGATTCGGGTTATTACTGCAGACCAAAGTGTCTATTCCAGTACGGCGGAACAGGACTTCGATCATGTTCCGTACGATCCTCCAATCTAGGTTATCCAGTCCACAACCAAGCTTCGGAATCGCCAGCTTCTGTAGGTTATTCTCCAGAAGATGTCTGCGGAGTTCTATTACTGCGTCCCAAAGGTCTCTATAAGTGGGGTTATCAGAGCATCTTCCTTTAGTTACCAGGTAATAGATATTGCGTCGTCCGTCAGGCAAGCACAACAGTGTTTTTCCCTTCTGTACTTGGTCTTCAAGATGTTCCAAACCGCCAAATCTGCGTTTGAACTCGGACGCGATACCACGGCTCATTCTGAGATCCTTTGAAACGCAATGGGCCAGAGAATATTCCTTGGATATAGCAAAGAGGTCTCGTCGGATTTCTTGCGTCACTCCAAATCTCCTGTTAACATGGGGGCCTTCCTTCATGAACTCTTCGAATGTGGGCTCGGAAGGAATAGTTCTTAATAATCTGGCCCGCGCCTCCTCTTCATTTGCACCGGCGAATGGAGCCAAGCGATTAAAATGGACTACCTTCGGCTTCCCATTTGGAGTTTTCTTAATTCGGTAGATCACGTCGTTAATCCTATTCACTATCTCATAGGGTCCTTCCCAATTCTGTTGGAACTTAGGTGATAGCGTAGTCCACGGCGATGATGAGGATTATACAACCAAACAAGATCTCCAGTTTGGTAACCACCTGCTGTAGCCTTGATACTGTAGTTTTCTTTAATCCTGTCACTAGCAATCTGTGCATGCAGACGAACCGACTCGTGGATATCGTTAAGCTTTCTTCGGAGGTTGGTTACATATTCTTCTCCAGCCAAGTCATCTCCTGGTTTACAGCCGAATTTGAGGTCACAATGTAGTCGTAACTCTCTTCCAAAAAGTACACTGGCAGGTGTTAGGCCAGTCGTTTCGCGGACAGATGAACGGTATGCCATTAGGAATAAAGGCAAATAGCGGTCCCAGTCCCTTTGGTGGTCAGACACTACCTTGGAGAGATATTTAATCAAGGTCCGGTTCATTCGTTCAACCATGCCGTCCGATTGTGGATGGAGTGGAGTGGTTCGAGTTTTCATTATTCTTAGGAGCTCGCATATTCCACGGAATATAGCCGATTCAAAATTCCTCCATTGGTCTGAGTGCAATTCCAAGGCCACCCCAAAACGACTGATCAACTCTTTCACCAGCTCCTCAACTATGGTTTCCGACTCTTGGTTCGGAAGGGCATAGGCTTCAACCCACTTGGTAAAATAGTCCATAACGACCACGATGTACTTGTTACCTTTCTCGGATTCTGGGAATGGACCCGCCACATCGATTGCGATTCGTTCGAAGGGGCCACAGACATTGTATTGACGCATTGGCGCCCTTGGCCTTTTCTGTGGTCCATTACTCGCGGCACATGTGGTACACTTCTTACACCAATTCTTGACATCTTCCTTACAGTTCACCCAATAAAATCGCTCTCGAACTTTCCCAAGCGTCTTGTTTACTCCAAAATGGCCACCAGATGATCCATCATGAAGATACTGCAACACCTCTCTAACCTTGTTTCGAGGAATAACCAGTTGATTCCTATCTTCTTCTCCATCTGGACTTTCAACAACACGCTTCAGAATGCCATCCTCCAATACCATTGAATCCCACTGAGCCCATAACTATTTTAGTACTTGGGTACAGCAAGAAACTTGCTGCCACGTTGGCCGTTTTCCGTCTTTTTTCCATTCCATTATCTTCTTCAAGTCCGGGTCGTTTTCTTGGTGGTGTTTTATATTGTCAGGTAACCATTCGTCATCGATTACCGTGACGCGTCGAATTGCCTGTTCGTTCTTTTCCATTCGATTACACTGCTTGCAGTCTGCTTGACAAGATCTTCTGGAAAGTGCATCGGCATTCTTGTGTCCGGTTCCAGGCCGGTGCTCCACGTCAAAATCATATTCCTGTAGCTTCTCAATTCATCGAGCTACCTGGCCCTCCAGATTCTTGAAGTTTAGAAGCCACTTTAAAGCTGCATGATCGGTGCGTAGGGTGAATTTTCGTCCATACAGGTATTTATAAAAATGTTCTACACCTTTGACTACAGCCAGCATCTCTCGCCTAGTGACGCAGTAGTTTCTTTCGGCTTTTGATAAGGTCTTGCTAAAATAGCCTATTACCTTCACTTGGCCATCTTGTAACTGCGAAAGAACGGCTCCCATTCCCACATTGCTGGCGTCGGTGTCCAAAATGAACATTCCATTGGG